TGAAAGAAAAAGGAAAATAGTTAAGTTCATTATTGCACTACAAACCCCCCTCTCAGGATCAGGTCCTTCTTGTCTTAGGTACTATACATATAAATAGTAAGGCAGTGCTTGAAGTAAAGAATAGAAAGTGTCAATAGAGAAGTACAATATTATCTCCATTTTACAAATGGGAGAAGTGTGTTTTGTTTTGGTGTAACTGCACTGGTGCAAACCCTTAGATTGGCTGAGCCAGTGTAAAACACGTTTTGATCCAGAGCAGTGTCTCTACTCCAGTGCACATTACCCTAATCTAGACAAGCCCTACATTACTAAATTCAATTCACAAAGCTAAAACAAAAAGTTTGTGGAAAACTAGTAACACAGGGCAGGATTTTCAGAAGCTGAAGATTGAATGTGTCCAAATCCTATTGAAATGCAATGAGATTCGGTTGTCTAACGCTTTTAGGCCTATCATATGAAAACCCCAGACAGCCAGAAAGTACAGCTAAGAGAATAGGATGCATTAATATACACATTGCCATAAACAGTCAAACTAGCAATCTAATGTACAGCCCTTTGTCAGCCTCCCTCTGTCCCCTTAATTATTTGTATTACAGTAAAGTCCCCAGTCAGGATTGAGGCCCATGATGCTAGATCAGGGGTGGGCAAACAGCCCGGGGGCCACATCCGGCCCTTCAGACATTTTAATCTGGCCCTCGAGGCCCCGCTCTGCGCGGCTCCCAGAAGCAGCGGCATGTCACCCCTCTGGCTCCTATGCGTAGAGTCAGCCAGGGGGCTCCACATGCTACCCCCGCCCCAACTGCTGGCCCCACAGCTCCCGTTGGCCAGGAACCACGGCCAATGGGAGCTGCAGGAGCGGCGCCTGCAGACTGGGCAGCGCACAGAGCCACCTGGCTGCCTCTACATGTAGGACCCAGAGGGGGGACATGCTGCTGCTTCCAGGAGCTGCTTGAGGTAAGCGCCACCCAGAGCCTGCACCCCTGACCTCCAACCCCCTGCCCTAGCCCTGAGCCCCTCGGTCCCAGCCCAGAGCACCCTCCTGCACCCCCATCCCAGAGCCCGCACCCCCTCCCACACCCTGAACTCATTTCTGGCGCCACCCCAGAGCCCCCTCTCACACCCCAGCCCCGCCATATAATTTCCATACCCAGATGTGGCCCTTGGGCCAAAAAGTTTGTCCACCACTGTGCTAGGTGCTGATTTAACACTAAGTAAAAGAATGCCTGTATTGAAGAGTTTACAATCTAATTTCAGATGATGCAACAAGTGTGTATGACAAATAGGGGAAGGAAAAATGAAAGTATGAGTGACCTGATCATGTGCACAGACAGTCTGTAACCACAAGCAGCTTGAATTTAACTACAAATCAATGTTTTATTAGACTCCCTGTACAGAGGCCCAGGGTGAAACGGAGACGCTATTCTACGTCAGCAACATTATAGAAAAGATCTTTTAGGAGTGGAACTAAAGCATAATCATTTCCATAATAAAGGTTTTGCTGCTAGGTATGTAAAATATAATAACTATTTTGGTATATGGGCAGGATCCGTCCATTCCTGCAAAAGGAGTCAGGAACATTTTTGCAGTAGGGCATGATAGATCCAGGTTCAAGCAGCTTTCCTTCCATCCTAATGCACATCATCTGACTTGATATGCTCAGACTAATCTGGTGGCCCACAACTGGGAACAATGACCTGGATACAATCTTTTGCTATAGTTGGAGATATTGAGTACAGCCATCTAAATTACTCTTTCTATGAAAAAACAATTGTGAGCATTTACACAAATGGAGCAAGACTGAAAGAGAAAAAAAAGCTTACAAAATTTCAGCTGTAACTCTATGCTTCTTTCCTCCATAGAAAGGTTTTGTGTGGAAGACGATGTTAGCATTGTAACCTGTTTTTGAGCAACTAATACTGCATTCTCCACCCAGTTCTATCCATGGCACTGTGAGAATAGATCTGCAATGATAAACAATTGCACTTTTCAAAAACTTAAAAGAAAGAGGTGCTCACTGCCATCTCAAAAATTTTTAAAGACAAAGAGGTATAGCATTTACTTGCCTTCCATAACCATTGGGGAAAGTCAAAATATAGTGCTCATCATAATCTAGGCATGTCACACAACCTGTCAGAAAGAAAAAATTACCACAGCAGCACTTGTAGAAGACATTTCATACAGAAATCTCAAAGCACTTGACAAATTAAGTATTACAAAAATAAAGAGGTTAAAGGCCTGATTTTCAGAGGGGCCGAGCACCCATAATTCCTACTGCTGTCAATGGGAGGTGCGGACATTCAGCACCTCTGAAAAGTGGCTCACTCAGGGACAAGCTGAGTCCGTGATGCATTGGAAATGGATCCCGGGTCTCAAGCCACTGACAAGACTGCTTCAGCAGCTACTCGGTCAAGTCATCGGTAATTTTATTGAGAATGAGTAATACATTGCAAGAAGTTTGTAGAAATTGCTTTTTCTACACAAATAAAATTGAGCATTAAGAAACTGTTAGCTCAAGAGTTTACCTTTTAAACTACATACACACACTTACCTTGCCCTATATTATGAACACCAATAGACATCCCCAAGAATTTTGACTTGGTCCAGATGTGAGCATTGAATTGTATTCTCTTGCTAAAACACTCGGCATAAAACGCTGAAACTTAAGAAGAAAAAAAAGTAAGAATACAACAAGACATTTAAAATAATTAGAAGCAATTTTTACATTCAAATAAATTACAAGATACTGCAGGGGAGGTGAAAGGGGTGAAGAGAAAGAGCGAGACTGCAATTTACTTCCCAGAAAAATGGTCTAAGGAGAGAAAAATTTCAGATTGAAAATTCATTGCTAAACAGAACATGTTAATTCAAGGTCAAAACTTAAAAACTTACTTCACTGTTAATCAGTTCCTGTCCAATAGTATAAGACTCCAGTAGCATAGCAACTTACTTGGAGGGTGGTGAGAGACCTGCTCTGCTACAAACGTCACACTGTTTTTGGTAACCCAAGGAATTGGTCCCTCTGAAACAGGCTCCTACAAACAAGTTAAGAGTTGCCTTCATTTGACATGGTACATACAGTTTTCAAAAATATCTGGGACGTGGTCCATTGAAGTAGCTTCTAATGAGAACTATCCATCACTTAACACAATTTTAGAATCTTAACATGGTGCAGCTTCAATATAGTTGTGGGTTTGCTGGTTTGAAGAGGAAAGGTATGAACCCACTGATGCTGGGCCTTTTGGAGAACATCCCAATTTCCGGAATCTGATTATAGATACATATATAGTGTTTGGAAGGTGCTCAGGGATTACAGTGATGGCTTACAAATATCTAGGATAGATGACTTCTGAGTTCACACCATGCTATCTAAACCCCCTGTGATACATTTTACACCTTTCAGGCTGGGGAAGTCTGGGTGAGCTAGGAGGATCTGAGAAGTTGGCACTCATGGAACCTGAGATGCTGCATTTTAAACTGCTGCAGCCTTTCCTCTAGCAGCAGAAGGGTGTCTTGCTGCCTTTGGTCCATGCACACAGCTGACACATCAGAATGCTTCAGGCTGCGCTTCCCCAGCTTGCCCAGACTTTGACTGGACAACAGAGCTGGTCTTTCTGTTTGTGACCAGAGGAGTGCTGCAATTCATGGCCTTTATCTGACAGCCATGTCTGAGCACTCTGCAGGAGGAAGAGAGAGTTGCAGAATTGGATTTCTGACCATCTCTTTCCCTGTCATTTCATCTCAGGATCTAGATCTTTGGAAAGATTTTAAAATAGGAAATGCTCTAGCCTTCAAAATCATAAGTAAGATTTCTAAGAGGAAAATGAATCCAGTTTAGGGTCAAAGGTCTGGCTCCAAGTGGTAAAGAGGAAACCCGGTTAAGGCTGCTGATCTAGACTGCAAGGGACTAGAAAAATGACAATCTGCAGTTCTTAAGACCAAGGAATGCATCCTGGGGACTGGACGGAATTAACACAGAATACTTTCTGCTTGTCAAAGGATTCTTAAGAAATTAACTACTGAAATTACATATTGTTTGTAAATTAACACACATTTGAGAAGTCTGCCCTAAAAAGGAGGGTGGGGAAACTTCCATTAGGAAAGGAATCACAATATTTTACATGGTTTGCCCCCGGTACAAACCCCATGCCGTTCTACTCAGAGATTAGAGGAATTATTCGCACACATTTTAAGCAGTAAAGAACACCACCAGAAAACTAACCGTATTATCTTCATTTTCAGCATTTGGCAATAGCCAATGACACCGGAAAATCTCGCCCAAAATGGGATTGTAAGGCTTTTTAGCAACAGATCCTTTCCTTCCCGCATGAAAAGCTGAGAGGTACCATCTAACCACCTGAACCATTCGGTCCTTTGGATCCTTTTGGTCACTAATACTAGAGGAGGGAAAAAGTATCATTACTGAACAGTAAAGTAATCCACTGCTGTTTGAAAGAGTAAGACATAAAATTAACACTCCAGTGTTTCTTTCTTTAAACTCAGATTGAGAAGAGCTTTTTGAAAAACAAAAGGCAGATTAGATGGTATATAGATGCACTTTTCATAGTTTGGATAAAGATCAAACATTCTTCAAAACAGTAAGCATATACTCTTGAAACTGCACAAGGCAATATCAGAACTGATTAATACTGTATTTAAATCAAATACCTCACAAATAAGTCCGGATGTGCAAAAAAGTCAGCATACATTTCCAAAAGTGATCTTCTTTCCAGAATAAAAGTTGGGAGAACCACCTGAAGAAAGAACAATACTTCAAAACTCTTAGAACGCTAGTATTTTAGTATCTAGAGAACGCCAACTCCACAGTATTGACATATTGCTAAAAACCCATCAGGTTCAGGGAACTAGAGAAGGGAATTAAAGATGAACCAACATTAATTACTTACTGAGCAATAAAGGTAACTAAAGTTATGCACAAAAAGAAATAAAAGCAATATATATCACGAGTAAATGGAGATTGTTGTTAACAACACTATCTTACATATACACAGACAGTTCACATTTAAAGGGTAATTGCATACATTTATCATACGGCCTCTACAAAAATTTAAATATATGATCCAAAAACATACTGTGAAGCTCAAATCTGTGCCATGAAACTACAGCCATATTAACAAAAGCATCTGAGGATAAACTGCTTCTCTATTCCAATCCCGTGCTGTGATTTGTGAGACAGGAAATCATGGATTATTTAAGCATCTAGCCACACATTTGGTGTTACGTAGAGTTGGTTGGAAAAATTCGATTGAAACGTTTGTCAGAATTTGCTGATTCACTGAAATCAAATCCTTTCACAGAAACAGATTCTACGGAATTTCCAACAGAACTCAGGCAGGTTTCTATCAGAAAACTGCCTGATTTCCTGCCAGTTTGTCCACTGGCACCTCAGCTGCTTACTAAGATAGGAGCCTCACAACTTTGCAGCCAGTTCTCCCAGACTCCCCTTCAGCCAGGCAAACAAGCTGTTGAGGATCTTGACTTCCTGGCACACTGCCAGGGAGCCAGGGCGCCTGGAAGCCAGCTCTCCCAGGGCTTGTGAGCTACCGAGGACTCAGAGCTACCCAGGTCCTCAGCAGTCCTCCTGGCAGGCTGCCATGATGCCACAGACTGAAAAAGTTCTGGACATAATTCTTGTCAGTTTCACAGTTGCCTAAAACTAAACAGCAGTGCTGAAACTGATCAAACACTTGTTAATTTGACAAGGACACCTTGATCTTGTGCATCTCTGCTTTGGGGTATGAGGACAAGAGGAGGCAGGAGGAAAGGTACTGCCTCTACAGATCTTCCTTCTCTTATCCCAACTCCATGGGTAGTTTAGGGGATCACAAATGATCTAGGGGATCAGAATGAGCAAATGATCACTTTCGCTGGTAAATTGCTTCCCCAGCTCATGGGATTTAGTAATTCAATTAGTGTTGTCAGCATTAAACTTATCCACATTGAGACGGATCCACTAAAGGAATAGCACAAAGACTAATCTATAGGAAGGCTGAAACAGTTAAAACTTATCAGAACAACAAATATACAGTTGCAATAGTATCAGAAGTGTAATATCCTAATAAACACCCTCATTCATTAAAAGCCTCACCCAACACAATATTGTAGCAATATTCCATTTACACAGCATTCAGATTTTTCATGAAGTACTGCCTTTGAGTCTTACCTTTGTTAGATCCATTCCTAGTCTAACCTGTGATAAAAGATGCATAATAACACTCTTATGTTCTTCCACTGACTCTCCTTCACCATCATCATCTCTATCATCAAGAGGATCAAAGAGATCTAAAAAAGAAGTCAACTCTGCTCATTATGTTTCTTAAAATATCCCCCCACAAAAAATACAATATTCAAAATAGAACTTACATCAATAAGTCCTAACAGAGCACACATTTTATTTAACATACAGATGAATTTTCTTTATTGTTTCATTGAATAAAGCCTTGTTGAAAAATACAGAGATCACAAAAAATATTTTAGGATTTAACCATATAACTAAAAAGAAACTTTCACGAGTGCTGAAACATTCACCTACTCTTAAGATTATGAGAGAGACTGAACCCTCTTATTTGCACAAACAAGCTATTAGAAACTTTTTATTAAGCACTACAATAAATATACCTGGATTCATACTGAAGAAAAGAGGTAATGCAATTCTCTTACCAGCATCATTTGTCCCATTAGACATGGAAGAATTAAGGGATTCTGTGGTGTCTGGGCGTTTCAAACTACTTCCTGTGCTGCTGCGAGTCAGGACTGCTGCAGATCCTGAGGAGCTACAGAAAGGCATCAAGTTCTCATGATTCAGAGCATTTATTTCAGGGCAAAATATTAGGATTTAACGAAATTAAACATTTACATGGGGGCTGATTACTTGAGAAGTGCATTTATGGAGAAATTACAAGACACTGGAATATTCAGAAGCTAGAATGGTATATGCAGCTTCACATAATATAATACTTCGAGCAGAATGTAGCCTAATGATTGGGTAAAATCTCCAAAGTGGGACTCAGAATGAAACCCATACAAAAATTCTAAATGCACACACAAAAGGGATAGTTTCAAATACATTTATTATTTCTCAAAGGTGAATAGCAATAATTTAAAAAAGTTAGTTTACTCTCAAAATTCCCCAAATGGCAAGAGTAAATGGAAACAGAAATTATTAATTTTTTTTTAAAAAGATGGAGGTGTTAGGAAAGGAAGGACATTGGTTATCTACCAATTGCTGCAATACACCTCAGGTTGGGCATTTAACCAGTCCAAAATAACTTGTCAATTAACAAGTCAAATATTGGTCAAATGTAAAAAACGGTCCAATATTTTAAAGCATTAATTTATTAGAACAGTAACAAAAAGAGTAAGACCTTATGGTCTCCCATAGACTTGGCCTTAAATACTTATACCTAATGAAAAAAAACGTAACTGAATTCTTTTAACTCCGAAAAATGCAAAAGACAATCAAATTAACTTCTAAAAAATGAAAGAAGGCAAGCCCCAGGCTACATCAGGGCAGGGCATTCTTGCTGGAACATTTGTCAGTGATCAAATAATAGTCAATCAATTGACTAGACCACTGACCAGCTTGCCAAACCTAAACACACCATGAACTCATTATTAGGAAACACATCCAGGGTTTCAGGATTACTCCCAAACACCCACACAGATCGCTTCTTACACTTCTAGAAACTCTGTTCAATAAGGCTCTGTGTTCTTTCACTACTTACTCAATGCATCGCTTTGGGGAAGAACTGTTCTGATAGAATTCATCAGCATCATAGAACTCATCTTCACTGCTGGAGTAAGAAAAATCTGGAACTGTATTTGGAGACAGATTGACGTGGCTCGGAGAGGTTAAACTGCTGCTGGGTGCCGACTGCCCACTTCCTATGAAATTTAAAAATCAATAAAGCTTTTTCAAAGCTCAGATTTCTTTAACCAGCCATTTCTAATCTACTAACCGGATTAATCAAACTGATTAAGACATTAGCAGAGTTTAGAAACTAGGAGAATCTATAAAATTAAGAATCAATATCACTCAGGTACACGTGTAATTTCACACAACAGGTAATACAAAATACGTTACCAGGAATGACTAATGAGGTAGAGTACAAGGCCAAAATTTTCCAAAATTGTGTGCCTGAAGTTAGAATGGGTAGCCTCCTAAATAAACGAGGCCTACTTGTCAGAGGTGGTGACAACATACAGCTCCTAAAGAAATCTCAATGAAGTTTATGGGAAATGCAGGTGCTCAACATCTTTTAAAAAAAAAATCAGGTCACATTTATTTAGGAGCCTAAATATGGATTTGGGAGCCACTTTAGGCACTGGCATTCCTAACAAAAGATAAGAAAACAGAGGCTTGCCGAGACAAAGAACAGCCAACGTAAAAATAGCCACATATGTAGGGGCTACCTCGCCTTCTGTTCTTAAAATGTTTCTAGGTTACCAAAAATGATCAGACCTGCAATTTTATTATAAAATTCAAAGTAACAAAAAACACTGTCACAGGCAGTTGATGACACAGAGTTAGGATGGAAATGCCTTCACCCACTGCAAAGAAAGTAATTGTCTAGTCACTTCTATTGTTACAATCCTAGAATCTTGGGCCTGGTCTACATTACAAAATTAGGTCAATGTAAGTTCCCTTGTGTTGACCTAGTTGTGTGTTGACACTTTAATTAGTCTCCCTGGATGTAAGCCCTCCATTAAACCAACACAAGAGAACCACTTCCTAAGCGCGAATGTACACACTGCATTACCTGTGTCAACCCTAGCAGTCCTCGAGAAGCTGTCCCACAATGCCACACACTGACAGCTCTGGTTACAATTGTGAACTCCACTGTCCAGAGGTCATGGAGAACAGGAGCCCCCAATCCCCTCTTTAAAACCTTGCAAATTTTTGAAATGCCTTTTCCTGATTGTCCACCTGGGCAAGCCACCTAAGCAGCTCTCCACTGTCACGTGCAACTACCCAGCTGAATGTGCTGGCTACACGCTACAGACATGCTCTGGCTTAAAGCAGACGAGAGATATTGATCTCCTGGGCCTGTGGGGAGAAGAGACTGTGCAAACACAGTTGTAGAAACATGGACATCTGTGAGGAGATTGCACAGGGGATGCAGAAGGGGATCAGCAGCAGTAATACATGAAAGTAAAAACTGTGACAGGCATATCAGAAGGCCAGGGAGGCCAACAACTGATCCAGTGCTGAGCTGCAGACCTCCCACTTTTACAAAGATCTGTATGCCAAACTTGCTGGAGACCCCACCCCCACCTCACACACCACTGTGGATACCTCTGAGGAGCCCGAGTCACAGAATCCTGCCATGAACAGTGAGGAGGTGGTGGAGGAGGAAGAAGATGGGGACATGGGGCAAAGGGATCCAGATATGCTGCAAGCCGGGACCTGTTTGAGTCTCCATCGCACTCCACTTAATCCCATGATGCAGGGGAAGGAACCCAGATAAGTGTGTAAATTTATTTTGCATTACAGTGAGGGAAGGACACAGCTATAGACTTTTCATTAATTGTACACCTGGAAGATCATAACAGAGTCTAACCAGCATGAAAATAGTGTCTCACTAATTTCTTAAAACTTTTGGAACATCTCAGTAAAGTAAAGTAGTGGATAAAAGAGAATGAGATCATATAATTTATTTAAGACTTCTCAAAAACCTTTGACCTTTATCTCACAACAGGCTACTAAGGAAGGTAAGTAGTCATGGGGTAAAAGGCAGCATACTCTCATGGATCAAAAACTGGCTAGAAGATAGAAAAAAAGAAGGATTAAATAGTCAATTCTGACCAGGGCAAAATGTTACATCAATTGCCTCAAGGTTCTGTTGTCAGTCCAGGGCTGTTTAATGTATTTATTAATGAGCTGGGGAGAGAGGCGAGTAGTGAGAAAGCAACATTTGCAGATGACAGTTTCTCTGAGTAGTCAGGACCAGTGAAGACTGTGAGGAACTTCAAGACCCAGAGTGAATGGGCAACACAATGACAAATGAAATTCAGCGTCAACAAATGAAAGCAATACACATTGGAGGGAAAAATTTAAAACTACTTGTACACCTTAGAAGGTTCTAAATTAATCAGGTAAATGTATCATATCAAGACGACGACCCAAGAGTTAGTGTAGATCGCTCAGTAAAGACCGCTACTCAATGCATAGTTGTGGTCAAAAAAGCAACAGTACATTAGAGCTTGCGTAAAAAATGAAATCATGAATAATACAGAGAATATCATAATATACTTCAACAGTTCAGCCTCATCTGAAATACTATTTCATCTGAAAAAGGATATTGCAAAAGTAAAGGGATTTCAGAAAATGGCAATGAGAATGATCAAGGGCCTGGAAAAACTCTCATATGAAGTAAGATTGAAAAGATTGGGATTGTTTACATTATAAAAGATGAATAAGAGGGGACATAAGAGTTTATAGAAGGTAGATACCTAACTTTGTTCCCTCTGTCTCATAATAAAGGGACATTCAATTAAATTAAAAAGGTGGAAAATTCAAAACCAATAAAAATACTTTTTGTATAACACACAAAACAGCACTCCCAGCTATCTCCGTGACACCACAGATTTCCTGAGAAAACTACAATGCATTGGTGACCTCCCAGAAAACACCATCCTAGCCACCATGGATGTAGAGGTTCTCTACACAAACATCCCACACACAGATGGAATACAAGCTGTCAGGAACAGTATCCCTGATAATGACACAGCACAACTTACTGCTGAGCTCTGTG